TGAAAATATTTACAGTACGGTACAAAAACACAATTTTTAAAACTTTTATCTGTCTGTTTGTTCTGGCCAATCTCAGAAATGGCTGGACGGATTTGTACGGGACTCTCACTGGCAGACAGGTGATGTTATGGGGAGTAACTAAGGCTACAGTCATTTTAGAAAAAACATTAGAATTCCGCGCAAAATAATTATAAATCCTAAGTTACACACGGGCGAAGTCGCGGGGAATAGCTAGTATAATTGAGTACTACCATTTTATATAATAATATCGCGATCGCTTAATTTAATTAAGTATTAATTATCTCTATACCTGTCTCTGTCTATTGCTATTTATTGCAGGGAGAGAGAGAGAAAAAATATGGGGGGGGGAGGTTCTGTGTTCTATTCATGCATTTTGTACGGTTTGTAGTATGATATTATATTACGGGCGAAGTCGCGGGGAATAGCTAGTATAATTGAGTACTACTATTTTATATAATAATATCGCGATCGGTTAATTTAATTAAGTATTATTTATCTCTATACCTGTCTCTGTCTATTGCTGTTTATTGCAGGGAGAAAGAGAAAAAAATATGGGGGGAGGGGGAGGTTCTGTGTTCTATTCATGCATTTTGTACGGTTTGTAGTATGATATTATATTACGGGCGAAGTCGCGGGGAATAGCTAGTATAATTGAGTACTACTATTTTATATAATAATATCGCGATCGGTTAATTTAATTAAGTATTATTTATCTCTATACCTGTCTCTGTCTATTGCTATTTATTGCAGGGAGAAAGAGAAAAAAATATGGGGGGGGGGTTCTGTGTTGTATTCATGAATTTCGTACGGTTTGTAGTATGATATTATATTACGGGCGAAGTCGCGGGGAATAGCTAGTATGATTGAGTATTACCATTTTATATAATAATATCGCGATCGCTTAATTTAATTAAGTATTAATTATCTCTATACCTGTCTCTGTCTATTGCTATCTATTGCAGGGAGAGAGAGAAAAAAATATGGGGTGGGGGTTCTGTGTTCTATTCATGCATTTCGTACGGTTTGTAGTATGATATTATATTACGGGCGAAGTCGCGGGGAATAGCTAGTATAATTGAGTACTACTATTTTATATATAATAATATCGCGATCGCTTAATTTAATTAAGTATTAATTATCTCTATACCTGTCTCTGTCTATTGCTATTTATTGCAGGGAGAGTGAGAAAAAATATGGGAGGAGGGGGAGGTTCTGTGTTCTATTCATGCATTTTGTACGGTTTGTAGTATGATATTATATTTTGCATTTTGTAGAGTTACAACTAACATAGATCTTACTGGATGCAGAGATGAAAGGAATTGACGGTTGAAATTTCGCAAAACCACGATGTTTTCCTTCATTACATTACGTGTTTATCAGACCTTAAAATTACGATTAACATTTTAGGGTTTCCACTGCTGAGGGACATCAAGCTCATGTTGAGAACGTACTATGAAATTAAACGCGATAAGTCTAGCTTAGTCTCATTTTTTTAAAACCGTGACTATTTCACTAATTCAGATTTACAAATTAATGTTTTTTGAAACTCACGTTAAGACTCGTTAAAAGAGAACGTTCAGACGTGCTCTTTGAACGAATTTGTATGACCTATACTTGTATTCTGTTAAAATCATAGAATACTATATGTATTATGTATATATGTATTATAGTATCCTATGGTTAAAATTCAAAATTGTTTTCTCTAAACTCAAAGCATCGTTTAGGTGATAAGTAAAAAAAAACTAATCGATTTGCCACCATTTCACCTTTGCGTATTATGTACCTACTACGTTTAAGTACATTAAACTTCAATGTATATCAAATGTTATTGTTATTTACCCTAATGCCGGCACCAACGAAATTGTTAATTGCAATTTTAAGTGCCGACTTACCACGTGCTTGCCGGCGAAGGAAAACATCGCGAGGAAACCTGCATGACTGAGAAATAAGAAAAAAAATACTTCGAAGACATCTGAAGTTTTACGTACATTTCCTTGCCATATAACCCTCTTAAAATGGGAGGAGGCCTCCTAGCACTGGGGCCCTATATAGACTAAGTAACTTTAACTGTTGGATTACATTTTCAATTTCTTTTAAATCTTTATTGATTATAGAGGTTTTGATCTACTAGATCAAGTCACCGTCATAGGTACACAATCGAACACATAATCAGACAATTGTTGACAAAATGACAGTGAAATGAATTCACGGAAACAATAATAAAATATTATCTGTTCGTAATACCTAACAATACAAGTTTATAAAAGTTTTCTAGTCTTATCCGACAATGGAAAAGCTAAAATACTATTATATAATCCAACACTATTTTTGTCAAAACCTAATTGTTTTCTATATGCTTCGTTCAGTTCACATTCCTTCATAATATGAAATATGAATACCTAGGTATCTTGTACAACTCCATATTTGTAACAATTTGGTGAATTCACTTTTCTCATTATAAACGCAAATTAGTTTAAAATTATTAATGTTAAAGAAAACAACATTTTATTAAATTGTAATCATAATTTTTCTTTTTATAGAAAAAAATATAGATATTATAATGTAAACTTAATTTTTTAATACCCACAATAATGGTGCTAAACATCCATCTCATCCGATAGTAAGTGTATTTTGAAAGCACACACAGACATTCATCTGTTCTCGATTAAGAATAAAAATGAAGAGCTGCGTTATCATCACAGAATTAAGATGAATCGTCAAGTTACAATAAAAAGACACTACAGTTTTCACTCTACATGAAACACAGCAGCGTTGTACTACTGCATTATGCTCGTGTTTTGTCTACCGATTAATAATTATTCTAATAGGCGCATGTAAGTGAATTATACATTTCGCCTTGAATTGAAGGCATTAAAACCAATACAGCGATGTCATTACAATGCGAAACCTTGCCTATTTGATCACAGTCACACAATAGAGTTTTCTCGGTGGATAATATAAACGAACAATTGAAATATTTCAATGCAAGCTCTAAGTTAACCACAACTATAAAATAACGCTATTCGATATTTGAACATGACTCACATTTTATTTTATGAACTTACATCATATATTAACTCAGTGTAATTCGAATTTAGCGATGAACTAATCCATACGAGGGATTGATAACGCCGCTCTCGCACAATAAATACTATATTTTATTATGTGGCATGTGGTAGAGCCGAGCTGCAGCTATTTTATGGTTGTAGCACGAATGGATTGGCCTGACCGGGGAAGGACCTCGCTCTTGCAGAATATAAGCGTAAAATAGCAGTTCAATATTGCTGTGTTTCGTATGGTGAGTGTTGAGAACCAGAGACCTTTTCCGGAACGAGGCATTCCTTCCACTACCCAGTCTATGAGCCACAGCATCCACTAGCATATATGCAGTAATCTATGGCATCCACTTGCCATAAGGGGTTTGTTTGATAGTTTCTGTACACTTGTTCAATATTCAAAGAAAAAACGCGAAACGTATAACATGTACTTATATACCCGAAACTATAAAACGAAAAAGGCATTTTGCCCCTTTAGTACTAAATTTAACACAAATCGACTGATTTTATAAATTCAGTATACCTAGCAGGCAATCCAAGCATTCTGTATGAAAATAAAGGTCTACTTATGTTATTCATAATGTTGCAGTTTGCGCCGGAATTTGAAAGCCCCGTTGCCATCCTGCCACATAAAGCGTCAAACGTAAAGCCGCATGCTTGAAGTTGATTAAATTTTAACGTGAAAATTACGTATAAATACTTACATATTAATCTATGTTAACAGTTTTAGATACGTATCATACCGTATTACTAAATAGAAAGGCTATACCTAAGTAGGTATATATTTATTTTGGCTGCATTTTAATTGCCAAAAATATGTTTTGTTATACATAAGTATCAATATAGTTTTTGCACATTTTATATACCATATATACAACATTTATGTAAAGGGTGTCAACTTGAACGAATTAATGAAATTTGTTAATTCGTTCAAGGGTGTCAATTATAAAAAAGTATTTTATCTAAATGTTAACCTCTTCGTTTTCAGTTGTTAGAGGTTGAACTCGTAACTAGAAGAAATGAAAAATCCATTCACAAATGCCTCACCCACAAATCAGTGAAGGTAAGTATAAATAGGTGAGAGGTCTTGCCTCTGCACTCCGAATCCGGATACTTATCTAACTCCAGGAGGGTTGAGTAGTGAGTCAATCTTTCCAAAAATGCATGCCTGCTGATAGGTTAGCATTTTTAGAAAGACTCATGTCCAGTTATAAACTTAAAAAGCTAAATACGAAGAAGAATTGAGTTGGTTGAGTGAAGTCGGTTAGTGAAAAGAGAATTAAATTATATTATAACATAACTGAATATTATTATTAAGTATTTCATACTACCGTTTCGTAACAATATTTTGGAGGATAACTTTTTATAACATCTCGTCACCGCAATTTGGATGCTTGTTCGTAAAATACCTTCTAGTGCTATAAAACCTGTTTATTTTGTCGTTTAGGGTATACTTTGCACGTAATTATGTACCTATCTATACATTTATATACATACTATACAGATACACAGTATACACACACGCGGAAAATGTTTGTGTGGGTACAAATATGTTCGTACAGGTAGCACACGGAAAGTTTTATGGTGCTGAACCTTTGATTTTAAATTTAAATATATTAGCATCGTTTGTAAAGCTTTAAAACTTAAATGAATGCATATGGCTTATGAATACAAAGCCAAGTAAGATTATAATAAGAATACAGTTGTAAATAATTCCCATTAATAGTTTAAGCACACGTAAATAGGTCATGGTTGAGTCCTTGTAACATTTTCTGGACCTCAGCATCCCGAATCAATATCTAGTCTACCTTAAGATGACCTAGTTAAATTAGTATCTCTGTGCTATGACTTTCAAATTTGGTCGTATAATAACCGGCAACCGAAAATTTAAAATTTAAAAATCCAATTCCAATTCGTACTCACCTTTCTCTGTGCTTCCGCAGCTAATCCAGATTTTGCAGCCCTGTTGTTGGCCATTTTAAACTAACAACTACAGTTATACAATTAATATTAAATTAAATCACAGACACGGTAAACGACCGCCAAGTCACTGCGTGCAGCGTTGAGATTGAGAATAATCTGGCGTTTCAAAATGTAAACAGCCGTGCGGGCCGACCGTCGACCACTTCAATTTGTGAGTGTGTGCTGATGAATGACATCATGCAGCGCGGCCCGGCCGGCCAGTGCACGATCCCGGGTAACGTATAGACACGTACAATTTCATACTCATCGATATCGATACCCAATAATTAAATATTATTTTTATCATATTATAAAAAACGCTGGGTTAATACAGGCGCTGGGTTTATACAGGCATTAAATTCTCTGTATAGGAACTCGGGTAATTGTGTTGGGATCAACGGGGCCTACTCGGAATGATTTGGCATCCATAATGTAGCTTCCCCATGGCTGTTCAACCTATTTATAGACAGTCGTTTGGAAAATTTGAAAGTTGAAGAATGCGGGTTAAGAGTGGGCGAGTTAACCGTCAAATACCTTTTGTACGCCGATGATCAAGTCATACTTGTGTCGTTGGCGGCCGAGTTTCAAATGATGGCTACATTAATGAACAGGTCATTAAAAGAAAGGGGAATGAAAGTGAATGCAAGTAAGACGAAAGTTATGGTTTTCGAAAGAGAAGAAAGTAAAACGATATGTGAAATAAGAATAGAAGGGGAGATGGTCGAGGAAGTAGATGAATTTGTATATTTGGGATGTGTATTCAGCATCCTGCATTGATTTGTCGTTCATAAGGATATGAACGACAAATGAATGCAGGAAATAAAGTAAATGATATTCCACACTCTATTATGAAAAGTCAGAATGTATCAAAAACCCACGTATGGCAGTTCACAATGCTGTATTAGTCACTACTTTAACGTATGGTAGTGAAAGTTGGGTGTTGCAGAAGAAGAACGAGATTAGAATAAGTGCAGTAGAAATGCGGTCTCTAAGGAGTATGTTAGGGCTGAATCTGAGTGAATGAGTGAGAAACTGTGTGATAAAAGAAGAGTCTGTTTTGCAAGATGATGCGGTGACCAGGATTATGAAAGGAATGCTTTGGTGGTTTGTTCGTGTAGAAAGAATGAATGAGGAAAGACTGACAAAGCAAATATATGTTGCAGAAGTGAATGGAAGAGTCGGAAAGGGACGTCCTAGGCGAAAGTTTGTCGACTAAATTTGCGATATATTAAAATGGGGAAAATTAAGTGTATCCTTAACAGACGAGCATGTATGCGTAGGTATATGGATGTGGAGGAGACGAGAGAGGTATGTCAGAATCGTGCTAAATAGAAGTCTGTATTCTCTGCATACTCCTCTGGGTGACAGGCGCGAGTGTTTTATACATATTTATATACATTATAAATAACCCAATATATTTATGAAAAAATTTAGAGCAACGCGAAAAAAAAGTTATTTCTCCTGTTGTAATTATCGTGCGTACTGGCCATAAACATTAGTAAATGCTATTAAAAAAAAGTTTACCAATGCTTTTTTTTTCGAATTTCAGAATTTCATTTGTTTTTATGTAATTATTGCGTAATATTGCGTTATTTTATACTGCGAAAAATTTTGTCAACTTTTTAATTCGAGTTTAAATACAGATTTTGTTTAAATTGTTGGCTTGACTGCCTTGTTGTTAAATGTGAATTGTTATTGCAAATAAACTGAAAATGCCAGATCTAAACGCCACTCAAGTTGCTAGGGCTGTTACTTTAATTGAAACTGTACACACCTACAAATATGTAGCCACAACATTACGAGTATAAAAATCTCTGGTACACCGAGTAACTAAAAGGTATCGGAAGACTGGACGATATACAAGAGTCGTAGGATAGGGAAGTAAACGGAAAACTGTGGCCAGATATAACCAGTTCATCGTTACCAGCGTACTTAGAAACCGAATCTTACCTTCTTCTAAGGTAGGAACGAAGCTCCAAGAAGTTTGAGGGGGCTAGAGTGGGGAAAATTAACTACTGCATATAAACATTTTAAACATTTTTTTTCTTAAATACTTATAAAAAGACGTGGCTATCTTTTTTTAGGGATTTAAGAAAAAAAATGTTTCTTTCTTGTAAATTTTTGATTTGTCCTTCATTTGGCTAATTTTGTAATTTAATCGTTTTTTTTTCAACGTTTGCAATTAACGAATAATATGTTAAATCCAAATTAATAAACTTAATTGTCACCAATAATAATGATTTTTTTTCATACACACTGTTTTTTGTACCTCTAAATTTGTCCATGAATATAGACAAAAAGCAAAGCAAAACATTAAGAAGGCGGCTTAGAATTTATCTATGAATATATAGATACATAAATATCGTTTGATATATGGATAAATACTAAGTTGTCTGCTAAATTAAGCTGCATGAAATCAAAGTGAAAAAAATTGGAAATTCATCCAAAAATAATTAAATAAACTCATTTCAAATCGTTTTGTAGTTGCGTAATTCAAATGACATACATGACTTAATATTTTTATTTTAATCGATAAACTGCAATATCGATAAAACTTCTATGGTCGTTTAAAATGTAAAGTATGGAGTACAATGAGAGAAAAAGAGATGAGTATATCTTTCTTTCCGCTCTATCGTCGCGACAGAATCACATGGAATGGCGACGGTCGCGCCGAAAATTGTGGAGGCTGTACTGCTAGATAAACCCTATAATAAAATATAATATTTATATGAATATGGACAGCATAAGCACAAATACTTTTATATAGATTGATTTAGATGCATGGCGTATATTTTTATAAACCTGCAGACTGAGGTGTAAGCTGGGACTTACTTTCTGTGCAATATTGTACACAATATTGCATGGAAAGTACGGTAAAACTTCGAGAGTGTTAGGTGGGTAGCAATTTTAGTACTCAAATATGAGACTATAGGTACCTAACAGTTATTTTCTGAGTAATCATTTTGCGTCATATTATAAAAAAATATTGTTGATTGATTGTTGGAGAAAAATATTAAATGCCTACTTTCATTTATTAAATATCTGATGTTTTGTAGAAAAATAATGTCGTGTCGAAAAGGGGAAATAATTAAAGAGTATAAAAGCAAAGTTATTATTTATAACAGATTTTGAAAAAGTTGCAATTTTGCACATCATAACCTACACTTATATTTGAATTAGAAGTTATCAGTATTCTATTAAGCGCCATCTTTGTGAAAACTGGTAGACATTTAAGCGATTCGTTTTGTGGACATGAACTTGTTAACTGTTTGTATTGAATCAAAATGTTTAGTATAGGTGGCGCTTGTATCCAAACAGCTGTCTGTGAACTGAGGGATCACACTTTAAGGGCTGTAATTTTTACATACTCTTTTAAAAATTCCAGGATTTATTCTACAACTGTTTGAATGGGACTTATAAGAGCCAAATGACCTCGAATAATGCATGCATGCATGCATACATTTACACAACCAATGTGAACGCCATCTAACGACCGTGAGGCTGAACTAATTAGGGGGTAGTATTTAAATAGATAGAGCGCAAAGATATAAATCTAATAAACGAATAGATGGGACTATGAAATTACTTTCAAGTGCTCCGGTAAAAATTAATACAATTTTTTTAAATTATTTATAAAAGTGTTTAATTGATTTATCTAAATATACTAAACTACTAACTAATATTAAATATATAAAAAAGAAAATTTGACTTCTCATTCCTAGAATCGAACCCGGGCACTCTTGAGTGCATACTGCAATTCCAAATCTCTCATTTGTTCCAGTCAAAACAGACAAAAATAAAGTCATAACTTAGCCAAAATTCGCATAGAGCTGAAAATTGGCAGACGTTAAATACATCATTATAAACAAAATGTCAAAAATCCCCTTCGACCCCACTTCTGCAAAAAAAAAAATTATTGAGGGTGTACAAAATTAAGCTTTTTTCCCATTTTTCTCGAAAACGGTAAGTTTTATCGTGAAAATAGGTCAAACAAAAGTTGTAGATCATACAATTCTCTACAAAAATGACCCTGTATCCATTCGTCGGATATCGCGATTTTAATAATTATAAAATTCATATTTTACATAATATGCACTAAAATGCTAATAAAAAGATCTCGCTAATGTTAGAATGGACACAACAAGCAGGATGCAAGCGATTCTCGTGTAAAGAGAGAGATATTGAAGATATTAATAGACTTGTAGAGTGGCTCTTATCACATGATCCGTTCCCTGTGATTCCAAAAATTATGTCCATTGCCAGCGGAGTCGTCGACGATGATAAAATTAATTGACATAATGCTCGTGCAGTTGGACTTCCTTCTATATGCAAAATGACTGGCCAAACGTTTAATAATATTAAATCAAAACGCGCTGCGAGTACTTCCTCTTTTAAGTGCAAGTAGCGTCATAAAAGTACATAATAAAAAGGTGCCTAAAGACCCCGTATTATTATTTCAACGCATAAGCATTAACTAAAATATTTGAAGATTAACTTGAAACATTCTTCGCATATGAATTAGCTCCAGCTCCTTACCCATTATCACTCTTTGATGCAGTGGGAATGCGTAAAACTATGAAGTCAGTTTTTTATATAGTATACAAATATTTCAATTTAAGTGCCTAATTTATGTGTGTGGCATGTTTGCAATAATTGTTTGTTTCTTTCTTGAAGTCAGTAACTCCACCTAACCAAGATCCATTAGATATAAATCCAAAAGAACAGTTTAAAAGTACAAATCGTTCGATCTTAAACTGCAACTGTAAACACATACTGTTAACGGTAATAGTAGGCATCCATCATCCAATTTCATCCTGTGAGTTTCAAATGAAGCTACTACGAGATTCTAAATTCCAGAAAAATGTTATTTGTTCCGGTTTTGGAATCTCATTTACGCTAGACTAGATAGTAGATAGTTGTAGCACGAATGTGTTGGCTCGATCAGGGCAGAACCTCGCTCTCACGGAATACAGCGTAAAATAGCAGCGTAATGCTTCTATGTGTCATATGGTGAG